AAATTTAATAAATAACATCATTAGTCCGTACCAAAAAAGTGCTTAAAAATGGAATCCATACACTCCGTGCCAAAAAAAAGTGCTAAAAAATTAAATGACATGAATTTAAAGTTAAAACTTATTTGGGGAAAAAATAATTTAATTACAAATATTTATTTATGGGGAGATAAAATAAGAATTGAAAATGAAAAAAAAATATACTCTTCACTTAAAGAAAAAAAAATCATCAAAGTTTGCAAATTATCCACATGCTCGAATCATAATAACTGAATAGTGTTTGGTATTATTTTTTAATAACACTAATCAATAATCGGTTACTACGATTCGAGCTGGTATTAATTGGAAACTTGTTGTTAATTGTGCTTATTTCCATAATTCCTATCAAGGTTTTGTTATTTGGGATGCATCGGTGTGGGACGGGAATCAAATTCATGGTGTCTTCTTTTCCCATTTCTCTTCTCGTCTTCCATTGAAGCCGGCCACTAGATTCCAAATCTTTCCTTCTTCACTGTCTCGTTCTCTTTTTCCCTTTCCCCATTTCATTTTCTCTCACCCAAATTTTGCCTCCGCCTTCTGAAATTCCACACCATCTCACTGTACAATCCCCAAGATTGCATCTTTATCTCCATCCCCAATCTGGGTCTTCCCCAAATTGCAGATTCATGGGAATCTCAAACCCCCGTGGATCTCGAATCTAAGCGCAATTAGGGTTTGTTGCGTTAGAGCATATTGTAAAACCTCCTAAGTATGTCTTATTACTCAGCAGCGGGCAGTAACTATGACTCTGCTGCAACTTGTTGCGCAAGCTCAGAGGCTTTAGCAGAGCTTAAGGTTTACCAAGCTTGCATCTTTTCTGTCCCCGTTTTCTTTGCCTTCATTCTCCTCTTCTTGTTCTATTATTTCTATCTTCGCCGGCAAAGTGCCCGTTGGTCTTCTTTGAGGATGAATGCCTCTTCTTTGCAGGCTGGTGGAGATGAGATTTCCAGGGTACCAGCAGTTCAATCTTTTCTTTTTTCTCATTTTTGTTAGATTCCCGCCTCCAAATGTTGTTTGATAGAGTAAATCTCAGTTTGTTTGATTAATATTTTGTCATGTGTGAAGTGTGAATTGGGGTTGAAGAAGGAGGTGAGAGAGATGCTACCAGTTATTGTGTTCAATGAGAGCTTCTCAGTCAAAGACTCTCAGTAAGTTGGACTCATCTTTCTTCCCATTCTTTTTCTTGATTGTGCTTTTGGATATCATTTGTTGTTGTGTCAAAGAACCGATTCAACCAAAAGTTCAATTGTTTAGTAAGAATTCAGTTTGGCATTTTGTTTCTGCATCAAAATATTTGTTGGGATCTCACATAAGCTCTATTAGATACATGAGATGGAAACCAAATCTTGAAAGCATGTCAAATTATTTTCCTGAAATGTTTTCTTTCTGCAATGAAATATTCTCTTCTGCTTGGCACATTTAAATACTTTCTTAGAGTATTAGTTGAATGGGGAAAGCATTTTTTTGGGGTCAAATGGACTGGGGTTGTTCTGTTCGATCCCAAAGTGGTTCCTACCGTACGTGCATAGATAACTTACTCCCTTCACTCTCCCCGTTTTGCCCACTTCAGGTGTTCAGTGTGTTTAGGGGACTACCAAGCAGATGATCGGCTTCAACAAATACCGAGTTGTGGCCATATATTTCACGAGGATTGCATTGACCATTGGCTCTCCACACATACTACATGTCCACTCTGTCGACACTCCCTTCTCGTTCCCACTCATACTTCCACGGTTAACCCCACACACGGCAGTCTAGAAACCATTTCCATGCCATCTAATCTTGAAGACGGTACGTCTCTTGAACCTAACGTGAATTTTCCCGAGCCCGAAACGAGAGAATTGGGAGAATGATACAAGTGGAAATTTTGTGGAGGACAAGTAGCAATTCAGATGTTCATTAACCACGTTTGGTCTAAGGTTTCTTGGAAATAGTCTCTGTATCTTTTATTATTATTATTATTATGAAGAAGGTCTGCGTACACCTAACCTCCTGAAACCCCACCACAGTAGATTTTATTGAGTATGTTGTTGTATTAACTAATAACCATGTTAAGCGGAGCAAGTGTAGGTGTTAAATGTTTTGATCATTTGAATGTATTTGTAAAAGGACCCTTTGATGAATGAAAATTGTAAAATTGTTCCCGCCCTTGCCTGAAATGTTTGCCAACATTGACTCATAGATAAAGAATAAAAATATTCTTATCTATGAGCCCATGTTTATGAAAAAATAGGATGAGCCCATTCTCTAGGGCCCCATCAGACCTGGCCGAATGCTCACTGATACAGTAACGTATCAAATAGAGAAGGGAGGTTGAGAAATTGGGGAAAGAAAGTGAAGAACTTGGGAGAAGATGAGAGAAAGTAGAGGAGGTGAGGAAAAAAACTGTGCGGCTAGAGAAGAGAGGGGGAGAGATTAGAGTTTAGGAGAGATAATATTATTGTTCTTCATTTATGACTAATCTAAAGGAAGTTACAACTCAATATTTAGATAAAGATGGTAAACCATAACCCTAGCAAATACTTAGTTCCCTAGCCTATCGGTTCAATAAAAGCGTTGAAGTAAAGAACCGAAAAGAGACCCTCGAAGGAGTGTTATAGTTTCACTCAACAATAATAAAAAGTAAATTAAAATAATAAAACTATCTAATTAACTAAATAATATAAATTAATAATTAATCCTTTCGTATCCCTCACTCAAAAGAGGTAAATTGGATTTTGATCACGGATTGGTGGCCGGGAACGGAGTTTGCACCTGGTACTTGCCCCTATTCTTAGCGTAATTTTCTTCCAATGCAGTTGCCAAGAATCGAATTCGGGTCTACTTTCTCTGGACTCTGTGCTTTTACCAACAACGCAATGCCCCCGATGAGCTCATGTTTATGTGGGGGGTGGGGGGGGGGGGTCCTATAACTAGGACACCTATGATTATGAATCAGCCGTAGTTGGTCAATCCATTGTAGTGATTGTTAGATTTTGTATGTGATTAAATTAATAGGATGGTATTGTTCCTTGTATGAGTTGTATGCTTGTCTTTTGCCAATCCTTTGTGGTTTTAGTGTGTCCCAAAATAATTGATGTTTTAGTAAACCAAAATATAATTTTTCCTTTTTCCCCCTTGAATTCCTGAATAGTAAATGAAATTTAGGAAAAGAAAAATCAAGATGAGTTTTGAGAAATTATTTTAATAATCATTAACCAGATCAAATTGAACATGCTAATATGGAGAAGGGTATATCTTAGTCAAATGTGTGTTTTAACTTTTAGATCTCGTGTTCATTATTCACCCATTCTCTCTCAAAAAAAATCTTCTAATTAGGTTTGACACAAAATTTAAGAAAAATAAAATTTTGTAATTAATAGTGATTAAATGAAAAGATGTTAGATCACCCAATGAAAAACGAAAATAGGAAGATAATTTTTTAAAGACGTCCCGAAAAGGAAATATGGATATTTTTTGGGGATAAAGACCAAAGTAAAATTAAAAACATTGAAAATATACCAAAATAGAACTTTCATTTTTTATTCCCTAAATAGGACTTAAAATGCATTTACATTACCAACGATGATCATGTACATGACTATAAAGTATAGTAATGTGCACATATACACTGGCACATTGCAACCATATTACTACAGTGTGAAGTCCTATTTCAGGAAAAAACATGAAATTCTTATTTTGACATTATTCTCTATGTTTTAGTCTTATTTATAGTGATTTCTATATTTTTTGTGTGACAGGGAGACTAGTTGCATTCAATTTTAGTTTTTTAAAATACTTGCTTCGTCTAAGCGTATTTGTATAGTTTGATTTTTTGAGTCAAACTAGATAAACTCTAATCATCAATTACACTTAATTTATATTACATATAATAAAATAAAAATTTTAAAGTTGTCAACAAGTTAAATGTAATGGAATCACTTCCATACTAATATACATTACAATTTTAATTTAATTTAACATCAAAGTCTGTCTAATTTGATTCAAAAAAAGTCAAACTAGAAGATTATACTGGAACAAAGATAGTATCCCATTAATCCAAGACAACTTTTTCCTTCTTAGTAAAAAAACTATACGTCTGATTATCCTCATTTCAATTACGAGAGACTAAAACAAAATTTAAAAGAAATTAAACGGTCTGATTTGCATAAGAAATTTGATGAAGGTCTAATTATCTTTCGCAACTCAATGAAAAGTAGGATTAATTTGCACAAAAAACAAAACAAAAGATTTTCACCTCTTCATCCGTCCACTTCTTTTGTTATAAGTGTAAGGGTGATCTAGAACACACAATTACACGGTGGCTGATCAAGAGGGATAATTGGTGTCATCAACTTTGACCGGGGTTAGAGATTGGAGACTCCGGACAAACAACTTGAGACCCGTAGGGAGACGATCCATAGGATCAGAAGAGACAGACGCCATGGCTGTGCACGGCTTGGTAGGAGAGCTCGGCTCTGCCGATTTTTTTTTTTGATGATTAACGCAGCAAGAAAGGAGAGTGATGGACAATAAACCCACCAAATGATCCGGTTTACAAAGCGGATCGTAAGAACAAAATTAAGAACAAGAATTCGAGAATTGGATGTGTATTACTAGCTTGATTTAGCTTGAGTTCTCCCCTTTCGGGTCCCCTCTATTTATACATGAGCTCTAAACAATTAAGGTGAAGCATAACCGATGGAGTCTAGCCCGCCAAGGGCG